TACCCTATAGAGAGGTGTTAATTGAATTATACGTTTCAAATTACTACTAATTATACCTCTCACTCAAATGAATTTACATAGTATGTTGTTTTGTGTATAGGTTCTTAGGCAAGTTGAAGTCTTATTGTTGTAATAAGCATTATCCGGAATGATCAATTGCTGAAGGGTATTTGGCAGAGGAATGCATGACATTTTGCTCTAGATATTTGGAAGATGTTGAAACAAGATGAAATAGACCAAATCGAAATGATGTGTTAAGTACTGATGACTTACCACAACATTATTTGTTTGGAAGTTATGGTCAACCATTAGGGAAAGTTGAAATTGCACACTTAGATAACACGTCTTGGGTACAAGCACACCGATATGTTCTTTTCCATCACGATTCAATAGATCCCTTTTGTACGTAAGTCTTTTGGACTCAATCCTAATGAAATCTCTTTATCTTTTATATTTATCAATTTTTAACAACATAATATTCTTTATAGTGAGTTTAAAGAAGTATTGAGATCTCGAGCACGCTCCCGAAGATTAAATCAGCGGAGCTACATAAGTTATTCACAGAAACTTTTCATGAATGGTTAGGCCAGACAATAAGTAACTAAATCTTACGGAACACTTATCAATTATATATGTCTTGCTTTTTATATCGACATCAATGCAAATTAATTCATCATTCATGTATAATAGGTTTGGAGTGGGTGAGAAGTTAGTGATAAAGTTAAATGGCTTTCTCAAGGTTCGAATAGAGTAGTTAAAAGATATAATGCCTTCCTCATTAATGGGTTCGGGTTCCATACGAAATCTCGTGAAAGATTAAGGAGGACACAAAATTGTGGAGTCGTAGTTACTTTGTCAACTACAAGTTATGCTACTGTAAGGGACAATAATCAGCATGAGGGAGAGGTCGATTATTATGGAAATCTTACAGACATTATTGAGTTAGATTATTATGGAAAACGAAAGGTTGTGATGTTTTGGTGTAACTAGGTTGATGTAAACATATGTATAAAAAGAGATAAATTCGGGTTTACAATAGTGAATTTCTCTCGATTAATTCACACGGGTCAACGTTTGATGGATGAACCATATACATTTTCTTCTCAAGTGAAACAAGTATTTTATTGTCACAATCCAATGAATGACGGTTGGTATGTTGTGCTTCGAAATACTCCCAAAGAATTGATAGACATCGGGGATGGAAGTAGAGATGACATTGAAACAAGATCAGAATGTTTACCTCTACTACCATAAAACTTAGATGAAACTATCACTAATACAACACAATTTCAATGGGTTCGAGAGGACGTTGATGAAGATATTTATGACAACTGACATTACATAAGACTTATGTACGATTTTATATCTTTATTTATTTATTTATAATGTTATATCCTTTAACATGTTGTCTTTCAATATATTCATTAATTAATTCATTTTTTTTATTTTTTGTGTTTATTTATTATAGATATCACGTCGAGGAGAAAAATAACTGATTTGCGGGTTGTTCGAGCTTCTGAAAACCATGAAGAAAGAAATAACGAGGAATCGAATGCACCTGAGTCTTCCGAAGTTCCTGAAACTGTTGAAGAAGAAGTAGAAATTCAAAGTAATCTTCGAAACATTATTTATTACTTTGTTCATTTTCAAAACTGACATTTAATAATTTATTATATAATTGAAAATGCTGGAACACGCAAGACTCGAGGACGTACAACTTTGAAGGAATTATACCAACTTCCTCCTGGGCATCGTGTCAAAGTTTCAAGAAATGATGTCGATCAACCTATTGGCCCAGAATCACGTTTTCTAGCAGGTTACTTAGGCATAGTTGGACGTAATACGAATCTTTTACTGATCAATTACGATTCATGGCGTGAAATGCCTAATAGTAACAAAAATCAAGCGTTGGATTTTGTTAAGGTAATAATGTCATTATAATAGATACTCTATAGAAATTCAATACTACTTTATACTTACAGTGCACACTTATTTGCTGTATATGAGAAATTTTCTTTAGAGGTCTCTGACGATTATGCAAAGCAAGCGTTAGGGAAGAGATGGAGGGACCACAAGATCTCCTTAAAGAAGAAATACTTCAAGAATGATCTCAGCCTTGAAGAGAAGTTGCAAACAGTCCCACCAGGAATGCTCAGGTACCAATGGGAAGATGCAGTCAGATTTTGGAGTTCAAAAAAGGACAGGTATGATGTATTTTTCAGAAATAATTGTAACAAATTTTAAATCATCATTAAAAGTGATTGTTTGACATTGTAGGACCGAGAGCATGTTGGTGTTGCTAGCAGGTAACAAAAAAAGTTTACGCATACGGCTGGATCAAAGAGCTTTGCTTGTATAGCTCATGAGGAGGTATTATAGATTATTGAAATAGCTTTTTGTATTTCATGTACATACTAACTCATAGTAATTATATTATGGTACATTGTAGGAAAATACATCCGGTTCTAAAGTTGGTCAAATCCAACTCTTCGACATGACACATACGAAGAAGGATGACACTCCTATGACTGCTGACGCTGCTGAAATTATGGTACATTTATTGGGTAGATGTTTTAAATTTACCTGACTTTATTTATATTTGTACCATGACATTTTTTATTTTAATTAATTATTCACTTTATTATTAGGAAAAATTGAGGGAGAAAAAGGCGGAGCATCATGCTACTGCTTCTAGTCAAGGTCTTGCTAATGATGATGACACTGAAAACCAAGCTATTAATGATGTTTTGGGTCCTAAAATATATGGTCGGGTGCGCTGTCAAGGATCATTCGTTACTCCCACCATGGATCCAGCTCATCACAATACATGTCATCACAGTCTCGATCTTCCCACTATGAAGTTAGTCGTTTAAAAGAAAAGCTGGCTGAGATAGATCAAAAAATGGCTAACTTGAAAGCGGAAAATGAAGCAAGGGAATAGAGAGAGTAGCAGCGGAAGCAGCCAGAGCAACAGTGGAAGCAGAGAAAGAAGTAGCGGCAACACAGAGAGAAGCTGCGACAACATAGAGAGAAGCAGCATATCAGCAGAGATGTGAAGAATTTGAAAAATGACTCAATGATATGATGCTAATGATACAGAAAATGCAACCTCAGATCCACCATCGTAGTCTCATTTATGTTATGAGCATTCTGTTAATGTTACTAAACATTGTTTAACTGAACTTATATTACGTTAATGAAAATTTATATTTATTATATTGAATTTGATGTTGTTTGTTATGGATATAGAGTTTGATGTTATTGTTGTTTTGTTTGTTGGATAATGGAACAGGTTGAAAAAACAGATTTGAGGTAATCAAGCATTATTTTTAGAACTGTTAAATTCTGTGTTATTTAGCGGCGTTTGTAAAAAAACACTGCAATATACCATACATTTAGCGGCGTTTGTATACTAGAAACGTTGCAATATACTATACATTAAGCGGCGTTTTTATACTATAAACGCCGATAATTCTCAACCCTTATTGCGTCGTTTTCGATAAAAATGCCTCTAAATTTGAAAACCTACTGCGACGCTTTTGGGGAAAACGCCGCTAAAAACATCACCTATTGCGGCGTTTGTGGGAAAATCGTCGCAAAATATCAAAACCTATTGTGCTGTTTTTAAGTAAAACGCCGCTAAATCTCAACACCTACTGCGGTATTTTCCTAAAAACGCCGCTAAACATCAACACCTATTGCGGCGTATTTCTGACAAACGCCGCTAAATAACAACACTTATTGGCAAACGCTGCTATATGTTGTAACCTATTGTGGCGTTTGTTTTTAAAAAACGCAGCTAACTTTAGCGGCGCTCTTTTCAGCGGCGATTTTTGCGGCGTTTGTCATAACGTCGCATGTGTTTTTAGCAGCGCTTAAAAACGTCGTTATAGGTAAAAAAAACGTCGCAAAATACCTATTTTTCTGTAGCGACATGATAATTAAAAAATGTAGGTTGTAATGTTTTGTTCAATTTATTTCATCGGACGTACTGTGTATTTGTCATTGTATTCGTAACTGGTTAAAACAGTATAGGGTCTAAGTTTTAAAAGTCTGAAAAAGCACAAGAACTGAAGAACAAATTAGACCATATTTTTACAGCCAACGGTGAAAAATCACTGTCCTTTTATTTATGATGCTTGCTAGGGCAGGGAAAATACACCCTCTGTGTTGGAGCTTGCCTGGGTTTTGTCAATGGAATTGGCAGGCATGTTAAGAGAACAATACTAATACTAATTTTACAATTCATACAAATACAATAATTATATAAATAGTGATTTTATGTGATAAATGTTTTTAATTATTCGATAATAAATGCTTAAATATTTTTAATTATTTAATAATAAACGTTCAAATATTCTTACAGATGTTGTGTTCAATAAGGTCATTTGATTCATGCTTTTATGATAAGTTTTTTTATTAGCATATGGTGATTATAAGACCCTAAACCTTGAGGTCGTGGGATCAAGTCCCACGGAGGGCATTTCATAATTTGGAGGTCTCCTACGGAAGCTGCTCTCAACCTGGTGTTGGGGGCAGCCTACTATCTTACCTCCCCCTTACCTCATACATATGGGAAAAAAGGGACAGCCATTTATCTTTTCGAAAAACTCTTAATTATAAGACAATGAACATTCAAATACTTTTAGAAATATTATGTTAGAACCTAAAATTTCTAAAAATAATAATCATTATTTTAACTACTAAAATCTCGTAGTTCACGAAAAATTACAAATTTTTTAGATAGGATATATGTGTGGGATAGCTTAATTTCTATATTGGGCCTTTCATTACCCTAAATAGCCCAGTTGAGCTAGTCACTGTACCCTAAATAGCCGACCCGTGATCTTTTATTGTAATTTTAGTTCAATGAATGAATGTTTTCAAAAAAAATAGCTGAACTCATTTTATATTTCGAAAAACGACAACGTATTATGTTAGACTGAAGTATCTCAGCTGTCGGCTTCTCTAATTCAAAACTTCCGATCTGTTTGAGCAAATCTAAAATTTTCTTTCGAGAATTTTCCGTGAGTAGAAGAAATGGGACTTCTTAGTATCATTCGAAAGATCAAGAGAAAAGAGAAAGAAATGCGAATTCTTATGGTGTAAGTCTCTGTTTTTTTTGTACGTATTCGAAAATCTATATTCATAATTTATATCTAATTGTTGGTGCAGTGGGCTTGATAATTCAGGGAAAACCACAATTGTTTTGAAGATTAATGGAGAAGACACAAGTGTCATTAGTCCCACTCTTGGTTTTAACATCAAAACAATCAGCTACCAAAAGTAAGATTTTCCCTTTTCCCAATTTATAATCATTAATTAGCTATGCTCATCAAGTGTTCGAACATACGCTTTCTGTGTTATTCTTCTTTTAGGTTTTCTACTAGAGAATTCAGAGTTATGGTTTTAATGTTTTTTATATTTTCATTTTGGGTTTTGGCAGATATACTCTGAATATATGGGATGTAGGAGGTCAAAGAACTATAAGATCATATTGGAGGAACTATTTTGAACAAACTGATGGTCTGGTATGGGTTGTTGATAGCTCAGATCTTAGAAGATTAGATGATTGCAAAATGGAACTTGATAATCTTCTAAAGGAAGAGGTATGTTGTTTAATTTGATTTGTTGTTGCCTATCAAATGCACGTTTGAATTTTCTCTTATAAATTGTATTCTAATGAGAAAAACTAGAATTCAGAAGAAGACACTTCTTTGACACTATCTTTCTTGCTATTAAACATTTCATGCTAATGCCTGGAGAAGTCCCCTGGGTTTTGTTGGCTGAGCATTTCTTTGTTGTCTATTTATCTTAGTAGCTGTTAATCTTCTTTGTGCTGCAGAGGTTATCAGGGGCATCCTTATTGATACTAGCTAACAAACAAGACATTAAAGGTGCTCTTACACCAACTGAAATTGCGAAAGTAAGACTACCAACTGATAATTACTTTCTTAGCTTGTTATTTTTGGATTTGGATGTTTTTGTTAGATTGCAAAAACTGATATTATCCATTTCTTATCTACCTTTAACCCCAAAACTATAGATATTATGCATCTAAGTTCACTCGAATCTACAAGAGTTTGCAGTATCATCGGTGCCAACTGAGTACAAAGACAGCTGAAAATCATATGTTTAGTTCTTTGTCGAACGAGTCATCTACTTGTTCCAAAAGTTATTGTATAATGCCATCTAATCTTTGCAGTATAGGCTTTCTTTTCTTACTTCATGTTACACTTTATTTGGGGCATTAAGCCTTTCATTCGAAATTCTGATTTGTTTTAGCCATGTAAATGTCATCGAAACATATACCTTTCTAACTTTTATTAGCTTGATTTTTTAAAATATGCAGGTGCTGAACTTGGAAGCTATGGACAAATCAAGGCATTGGAAAATTGTAGGCTGTAGCGCATACACTGGTGAAGGACTTCTTGAGGGATTCGATTGGTTGGTTCAAGATGTGGCCTCCAGGATCTACATGCTTGATTAGCTTTAATCTGTTTGATTTGGGAGCTCAGATTTAGGACCAAGGTAATAGGATTCCAAATCCACATGCCTTGTCTTGGTTGGCTGCTGAAACATAATGATGAAGTTTTGAATTTCTGTCAATGGTTTAAAATTTCTTTAAATTTTATGGTTTCAAATACATTCTGCCACTTCGTATTTTAACAAATCCATTCAATTTTAACACCCTGTGTTTTCATATTTCTTTGCTAATGGATTATGTTATTTATGAAAAAGAAATCGAAATGAGTTCATACGGGACACATTTTTGTATTGAGATTTAATAGTCTTTAAAATCAGATCTTTACTTTTTCGATTTCAAATCTAAATTTAATCATTAACGTTAGCATTTTTTCATTGAAATTTTCTGGTTTATAATATTTATTAAGAGGTCATATTTCAAAATCACAGTAAATTGAAATGAAAAATATTAACAGTAAAAAATAACATATATTTTAAAAATGGAGAATAACTTTACCCAGATAAAGATATTCACGAGATATTTGGATAAATATATAAAATATTTAATACAAAATAAAATAAATATATAAAAAAATAAAATGGTTTCGGCAAAGCAAATGAACCAATGAATTTAAGAAACATCTTTTCAGAGAAAGACGAGAAAATTCTGCCCAGTAAATTGTAAGCACTCGGTAGAATTTATCTGGTTTTTATGAAGAGGAAACAAATAGAATTGTAGGCACCATAGCGAGCAAATAGCTGGTTGTAAAGTGCATAAACTGCTTTCTGAGATGCACAGTTTGCTTTCGGATCCTCTTACCCTGTTTCAGGCATACACATGCGAGGTCTCCACTACGACCATAAACCAAAATTATATATGCTCCAATCATATCTCTACGAAGAGAAATTTGAGCAACAATCGAAGGTAATTGAACGAAGGTTGCTGTAGATGAAACGACGAAGCGAAAGGTATTCGAGTGAGGTGAGTGAAGAGTTAAGATAAAGTGAGTGAGATAGTCAGCTAGGGTTCAAGAGGAATTTGGTTAGAGATTGCTTGAATAATGCAGAAGTGACAAATGAAATGTGTTTGAGTGAAAATGGTTTACAATCTGTTAATGGGCAGTGACCCAATAACATCTATCTGTAATCTATATAGCTAACAAACTAATCATCAATCTGAACAAACTAACGGCCTTCAACAATTGACCTAGTAAACTTCTTATAGCATGTAACAAAAAATCAACAGATTAGTGTCTTCTAACCATCTCGTCACCTCAACCTTCTAAATTTTTTTAAAGTTGTCCTTCAAACAAAACATACAATCATAATTAGTCTGTACCACAAGTGAGTTAGTACGTGAATTTACAATATTTTTTATAAAATATGTGTAAAACTGAAAAGAATTTTATATAGATTTATGATAATTAGATGAGTGAAAACAAATAAATGAGATTATAGTAGGAAATAAGAAGATATTCATTAGAAAAATAAGGAGTTAATCTTAATCATTTTTTTCACTTATCTAACTGTCCTAGATCTGTGTACAACTCTTTAGTTTTATACTGTACAAGTGGATCCTAACTCATGAATGATCTTTCGACTATTAAAAGCTATAAAATAGTCATTCGACTATTTATATGTTCCAAACTCGACATTTTTCGTTAAAAAATTGGCAATCGTATAAGCTGAACGTTAACTCATTGACTAAGGTATGATAAAATATGATACAAAAATCATTTGAGTTGTATTTTATGTATCAACTCTACATCTATATTATGTTTTTGATACAATGCTTTAAACATTATGTCGTTGAACTAATATTTGAAAACAATGTCGATATCAATAGACATAATTGAAATATAGTTTTATCATAATTTTATAAATAATTACCATTAGACTTAAATAAAAATTTGAAGAACTGTTCAACCCGATAAAATAAACATCTTTACTCATAATATTTATTGCAAATTTTTGGGAACCACTTGGTCTCGAAGGAAACAATGACTAGCTGAAAGTTATCAAATTGTTAATTTTGCGCAGATTAGCTAATAGCACCGGTATTCATAATTCAACTAAGCTCGAAAGTCGAGGACTGAGATATATTACAGAGAATTCTGGTGGCATAGTTTATTGTTTTTGTTCGTTTATCTAAAAGTATGTTTGGTAGTGGTGGACGCTCTGAATTTCAAAATTTTATAATACCATAATATACGAACATATCGTGTCTTGATTTCCAGATAGTATGTTATTATTAGTGACTAAATAGTGAATACCGATGCGGATTCCTTTGTCTTGATTCTAAAAGCTTTGAAACACTGCCATTCGCTGCAACTCTCATCATTTTCTCTGTAATTTTCAAACTCTCTCCGAAAGCAAGCCGAGTGACTTCAGAGTTCAGTGCAATGTGGCGGAGGAGCTTCGGTACCGGCAGCTACGCGAGCGCTGTGCACGCGCTAAAGGAGAAGAAGTGGGACGCGCTTGTGATCGGTGGAGGCCATAACGGTTTGACAGCAGCGGCTTACTTAGCTCGTGGCGGTCTCTCTGTTGCCGTGCTCGAGCGACGGCACGTCATCGGTGGAGCGGCGGTGACAGAAGAACTGATCCCCGGCTTCAAGTTCTCCCGATGCAGTTACCTCCAGAGCCTCCTCCGTCCCTCCGTTATCAGGTTTCGAAGCACTTTTTCCATTTTATACTGCTATTTTCTTTCATCTTTGTTCTTTTTTTTTTAAAAAATAAATTAAATGAGTCGATATTGTTACTGTTTATATTTAAATTTGTTAGTGAACTAGATTTAGCGAGACATGGATTGAAGTTGTTGAAGAGGAACCCATCATCGTTTACGCCTTGTTTGGATGGAAGATATCTTTTGTTAGGGCCTAATAAAGAGCTTAATCATTCTGAGATCTCCAAATTCTCCAAGCGAGATGCCGATGCTTCCAAGGTACATGTCAGTTTTGATCTTCCTTTTAACCTGATTGATTTTCCTTTAAAATTTTGAGTTTGGTGCTTAAATTTATGTGTGAATAAGTTAATCATTTCTAGTAGGAAAACAAGATTATTTAAATTTTAGTTGAATTCGAGTGGTAGCTAGTTCAAATAGCGATCTCTGTTTCTTCTTCTTATTCAGTAATCTGTTTTACTGGTTCTTTTTTCATAGATACGAGAATCAATTAGAGAGGTTCTGTAAACTCATGGATCCACTTTGGATTCATCACCTCCTGAATCTTCGCAAGGTATTTCATCTCTCCAAGATCTTTTCAAGAATAAAGTACACAACTCAGTATTTTGGACTCGTTTGCTGCACCAGGCTGCTTCCTTGGGGCAGAAAGACATGGTGTAAGAGTTTCTTTCCCTAAGTTGAAGTGGCTTCTGATGTTGTCATTGTTTCTATGTGAACAGAAAGTTGTTAGAAACTTCCCTATAGTGATACTTTATTTAGTATTTTCTAATGACCTAACTACCTTGAGGTGCTGCCACATTTTATTTGTGAAGGCAGCCAGTCCATTCTATTGAATCTAGTCTAAACCTTACATCATGTCTGTTTATTTATTTATTTTGCAGGGATTTTATGGATCTTTTATTGTCCTCAGCTTCCAAGGTTTTGAATAACTGGTTTGAGGTGGTTGTTTGATCCTTTAATTCCCTTATGTATTATCCTTTTTACTTCATGGCTTGCAATAATCAGGCAGCTTGGCTCATTTCCTTCAATGTCATAAGGAAATGATTATGGTGATTTCAGTATATTTGTTTTATGAGTACTTTTGCCTTGCCTGAAACTAGATAACTTTGATAAATACTAAAACTGGTTGGATGCTCATTTTATTTCTCTGCATTAGCTAAAGGATAATTCATATTTTTTACCAGTTTCAAAGTTATGCTCATAGTTTACAGTTCTGTTGTTGACTGTTAAATGTACAGACAGATGTTCTGAAGGCAACCCTTGCAACAGATGCTGTTATTGGCAGTACGGTAAGAACTTTTAATAAAAGCAGCGAGATGCCTCAGCTTTCAATAAATCAGTCTATATAATAAGTCACACTTAGAGGGATATATGATATACCTTAAACTTGCTGTGAATTGTAACAGGCATTCTTTTTTCTCCGAAGAAAACTGATATGTTGGTGAATCAAACAAAATTTTCTTTGGCTACCTTGTAATAATTAGTGGAATATTTGACATTTTCTCCTTCAATTTGTGTTCTAGGGTAGTGTCTCCACACCAGGGGGCGGATATGTACTGCTACATCATGTGATGGGAGAAACTGACGGTGATCGTGGAATTTGGACGTATGTATTTATTGCTTGATTTTTATATTAATTATAGGGTTAATGTTTACAATTTTGTTCTATTTGCACTGTTATACTATGCTGACTCTTCCCTTCATAGGATTCTGGTTTTGTTCTGTTCATGTTAAATTTATTCCCAAGAGCCACAATGTCCTTTTAGATTATGCTAATGTACTATCATGACAAGCTTTCTCTTAAGAAACCAACATCCCGAGGCTTACAATTTTGTAGATATGTGAAGGTGGAATGGGGTCAGTATCCATGGCTATCAGCAATGCTGCCAGGGAAGCCGGTGCTCATATTGTCACAAGTGCAGAGGTGTAGTTTGAATCACTTCTCTAGCTTACTTTTTTCGCCTTTCTCCTCATGAAAGAATGAAACTTCTTCTCTGAAGTTTTATTTTTATGTCTTTTGTTATTATACAACTACATTGAGTCGTATGCATTATGAATGAACATGAATTTGAAAAGAAAAAAAAGGATCTTTTTTAGATCTATGTACAACTAATTCTTCATAGTTGCATGATAATAATTAATATGATACTAGACTTGTTTTTATCATGCTAATTGCCATGTCTTGGTTAACTTCATTTGCTCTTGCACTGCACCAATATGAAGCAAGGACCTGGAAATTGGTTACTGTCATGCTAGTCACAAGTCGGGAGCATGTAGTTTGTGGTGGAGGATCTCCTTTTCCATTTTAACTTCCTAGTTTCTTTTTTATATTTGCACTTTCTAGCAGAATGCATTTTGGCCAATCATGTGGATTCTGGGTTTAAACTTTATGCTTCAATTCTCACCTTTACTATATTGGCTATGATATTGTCAAGGTTTCACAGCTGATAGTTGATGACTCGGGCAAAGTGAATGGGGTTAGTTTTCCAACCTGCGTTTCTGCGATGCTGACAGATCTTTGAGCTTGAATCACACTAATTAAATGTCGAAAACATGACCATCTTGTTTAGGTGTGGCTGGCTGATGGTACAGTGGTTCAGTCTTCAAGCATTTTATCAAATGCAACCCCTTATAAACATTCATGGTAAAATTTTACCGCAGCTTATTCAGTTATTTTGTTTAAAAATTAGTGTTATCAGCATAAAGAAAGCATCATATGTATTTTGCTAACTAAATTGCGCTTTTAAATGTTCTTTTTTCACCATTGGCTATGCTTAATATCTGTCACAGGAATTGGTGCCGCAAAATGTTCTTCCTGAAGATTTTACCCGTGCCATTAAGTATTCCGACTACAGCTCTGTATGTTCTATTTACATTCTTTTATTTACTGCATATTATTTTTTTCCTTCACCACTTAATCAGCTATACAATTGCTGGCCAAAAGAGAAATTAGCTACACTATTAGAGTTTTTACAATTTTGTCCGTTGATAAAGAAAATTTACAATGTGCTTATCCATAAGTGTGAAATACACTGATTTATGCCTTTCGCTAAATAGGGATGGGGCCATCGAGCAATAGCTGCAAAATGTGGTTTTACTGCCATGCGCTAAACATATTTCGCCATCATTTATTGAAACAGGCAACTACCAAAATCAATCTAGCTCTTGATAAATTGCCTGAGTTCCGTTGTTGCAAGTCGATATATCCTGGTTCAGGTCCTCAGCACACTGGCACCATTCATGTTGGTTCTGAGAGGTATGCTGCTATATTTTAGGCATGTTTTCTAAATGATCCAGGCAAAGAAACTGGTTACTGATATCAATAACTTTGAAGCTTCCTTGAACTAGAAAGTCATTCTCACTTTTCAAACATAGACCGAGTGCCGTGTAAATGCATGTCGCAATTTTGGCTTCTTTTGGATAACATATAAAGTTTGCTACATCAACTTTTTGATGACAGCTTTAAACTGTTGTCACAGAAGATGCATATATATCGATGGCTTATAAATTAATTATCCAACAATTCTGGCAATTGTAACAATAAATATATAGCACTTTTACCCTATGGTGTTCTAACTATTCATTTTACATGAAGTAACCATGTCCGACACATAGATATGGGGATAAGATCTCCAAGGATTCGCTAAATGTATGGGAAAACTTAGGAAACTCTAATCATAACACTTGAACCCTAGTCCGAGTAATATAGCTTTTACTGTATCTTTTTTGCTTTCAATCGCAAGTTTAAAGTTATCCTTGGCGGTTTTCAGCATGGAGGAGATTGATTTAGCTTGTAAAGATGCTGCCAATGGATTGCCATCAAGAAGGCCGGTCATTGAAATGACAATTCCATCCGTATTGGACAAGACGATTTCTCCACCTGGTACCTAATTTTGGCATTTTTGTATCTTCACATTGTTGGATCATTTTCTTCTCTCTTTTTACTCCAAACATATTTTTTACATTAGAGCATAATGAGATTTGCTACTTAATAGAACCGAGAGTGTGATACTTTTCACAGGCACGCATGTCATTAACTTGTTCATCCAGTACACCCCTTATAATCCGTCTGATGGCAGATGGGATGATCCTGCTTACAGAGTGAGTAGAATTTTGACTTTGAGCTTGGGTAACATAAACTTATTAGCAGTAGTCTAGTTATTTAGCGGCCACTTTTGGGCAAGGTGCAGGGCATCATTTCTCCATGAGTGACCATTTCCTCATACTAATCATATTGTTTATATTGTAGGAATCATTTGCACAAAGATGTTTCAACCTGATCGATGAATACGCTCCGGGGTTCAGCTCATCGGTCATTGGCTATGACATGCTAACTCCTCCTGACCTTGAAAGGGAAATTGGCTTGACAGGTTTTCTTCATATCCATAATCCTGTGCATTACAGGCCTGCTAATTTCTCGTTTCAGTCAACTTCATAAAATCATTTTCAAGCTCTTCTACTTGTTGGTATAATTTATAAATACAGGGATGAGTAAAAACAACTCATCTGCTTGAGGTCTCTGACATTCATTGTTATTAGGAGGAAATATCTTTCATGGAGCTATGGGATTAGATTCTCTTTTCCTCATGCGACCTGTTAAAGGATGGTATATTTTTCTCCTTTTCCTTTTTTAACTTTTAAAAGTGGAGAAAAAGGTGCATGTTTAAATTTATACAAATTTATATAATGCATAAAATATTAATCCAAATTTGTGGATGCAGGTCGAATTACAGGACTCCATTGGCCGGCCTTTACTTGTGCGGGAGTGGCGCCCATCCAGGTGGTGGTGTGATGGGCGCACCAGGCCGCAATGCAGCAAAGCTAGTTCTTGAAGATTTCAAGAAAAAATTGAATTGATTTTCAGGAAAAAAAAGAGTCAAATCCAGGACTGCTTTTGTGAAATAAATTCTTTGCTCAAATACAGAGCAGATGCTGCCCGTTACCTGGTCAGTTATTTGGACTTAAATTTATTCCTTCACGTCAACTGTTGTCTTATAACCATAATGCTGTTCGATGAATATTATCTAATAAAAAGTATAACTTAGATTAATTCTATTAATTATATCATTAATATAAAATTAAGTAAAATAAGTACAATTTACTATTATCGTTGATTTGTTTAGTTATCTAGTAATATAATTTTATTTTCAAAATTAGTTATAATTTGCTTAATTTATGTATTAATAATTAATAATTTAAGGATAAGAATTCTTATTATATTTGGTAATATGTATATGTATGTATATATATATATATATATATATATATATATATATATATATATATATATATATATATATATGGAGTGAAAATAGTTGAGTTTATAATAATTTTAATGTGACTTAATGTATAGTTTTTTTAAATACCATGAACTTGTTTTTTATCTACTCTACTTGTTTTATTAATTGAGGGTATTTTAATATTTTTATAAATTAGTGTAACTTAACTCATAACACTAATTTAAGTCGAGAATTTAACTAATGGCATATATGTAAAACGATAGGATACTGTATTTCATTACTATTTTATTTAGGGTCATCTAAAGTAGTTTATGTTAGTAAACAATTGAGTTAACTGCAGTAACGTTTCTAAATTATGACCTTATTCTATATTAGTCTCTAAACTTTAAATTATTTTAATTACATCCTATTTTTTGTTAATTAAATCCTTTCATTATTAAAACAGTTAGTTTAATTTTTAAATATTACATCATCTTTTAATAATAAAAATCTAATTGACATAGACTAATAATTTGTGATGTAATTAGAACATTTTAAAATGTAAAATCAATTTAGAATTAGGGTCATAATTTAGGAAAGTAACTCTAAATAATTTAATATTATTAACATCTTTTTTCACATTTAATTAATTATATATTAAATATTACAAATTTAAAATGTAGTAATGTCTTTTTTCATGAACTTTTTAAGGATTTCTTCTCTTTAAAAAATTTGCCAAAGATTAATATTGGAATAGGCTACCAAATTGATGCCTAAACTTTCGTTTGAATCAAATTGACCCCCCAAATTAACAAATTTAATCAAATTGATCCCTAAACTTGACAAGTTTAGTGACCTTTGAATTTTTTATAGCAACTTATTTAGTTGGGAGTTGAATTGACCTCCCAAAAATTCAAAGGCCAACTTGTCCAAACTTGTAAAATTCAAGGTCAATTTGACCTCAAAAAAAGTTCAAAGGTCAATTTAACCAAACTTGCCTAATTCAGGGGGGTCATTTTGTGGTTTAAAGCATTGAAATATAGTAAAGCCCAGTCGCATACTCACCTCCCAATCACTTTAAGGCATCTCTTCCGTTAAGCAATGGCTTAGGCCACAAGGCCGGTAGCTGCCTACCACCACACCCTTCTTCAGTTCCTTTACTCCCTCCTTCCCCGTTTCTTCTTCTCCACCCTTTCTATGGCTCATTCCCTCCTCCAACCATCCCCATAGCCATGATTTAACTGACGTTTCTTTCTTTCGTAACAGACTACAGTATTACTTTAAGATCAGGTGTTTTCTAGTATGGATGGCCATATCATTTTCTACTATGTGTGCAGTTAAAGCTTAAAATATACCGAAGCTGTCCTAGTTTCCTTTTTATGATCCAAACCATTCAAAAACTACCGCTCTAACGAGTTATAACACTATATGCCTCACATTAAAGGTTATAAGAAAAAACTAGTTAAATATAATACCCCGAAACTTTATGATAATGAGGCTTTCGTCAAGATACACACCCTTCACCATGGTCCCAAAAAGTTGGTTAAAATAAATAGTTATCAACTCACAGAGAGAAGAAAATAATTCAAGGATCAATTTTAACAGCATTTGAATACAAAGCTACCTACTCAGCCAACCGGAAGCAGATTTCGGGATGAGTGTGATAGCATTTGAAGCAGCTTCTAACCTGTATCATGGTTAACGCCATCTGTTATTAACTTATTCTGTAAAAATATAATGCAAATGGGGGCAAAATAAAACCAATATAAATGCACGTAAATTCTCACTATCCTTTAAATGTTAGATATGGATATGTGTCTAACACAAGTATTTTCAAATTTGTTTAAGTTATTTTATATTTATAAGATTATATCCATATACTCATATCTGAATGCAAATGCTGATGACATAGCATGCTTGACAGACAAAAAGAGAGAGAGAGAGAGAGAGCACTTAGATATCTCTTCAACAGCCCTAATAATTTCTGTTGATCTTGTTTCAAGCACTTGACCTCCGAAAATTATCTCATCTAAGATAGTGTGTATCTGCGTAAGAGTTACCGAACGTTTGAATGTATAGACAAAGCCAAATTGATGAGGAAAGAACAACACCAAACAAAAGCAATTATACCATAGATTTAAATCAGAATAGTACAACAATAAAGTGTTCAATTGCCATTAAATCAGTTTTGAGTATAAAACAACTAGGGCATTATAATGATGTCAGAAGTGCTAATCGAGCATATTCCAAAGACAATCCTTAGCTAGCAGGGCATAAAGGCACTAATGCTCTGCTTTGACACCAACCAGGGATTGAATGCAACATTAACAACACAGGATTCCAAGTCAAGATATTAAGGACTTCAGGCAAAAGCCAGCTGCAAAATTAACATTAAAAAGGCTAAATTACAGAGCGCGCCAAGCATCATAAAATGCTATGTTATTCCAACTTTTCATTTTTCTTTAACTATCCATGTCTAACACCAATATATCCGGAAATTGGTACGGAGAGAACTTAAGCATACGGCATATCGGTATAGGACACGTGCTCGTATTACGGTATTATAACATAGGTGCTATCCTCTTGTACTCAAAAGTAAAAAATATAAATAAAAGCACACTTTGTGTTTACTATTCCAATAAAAACACTAGATTTCATTTGAATGTAGAATCTAACATTCCCTGGCACTAAATACATACAGATATAAGTGAGGACAGGATGCAAACCTTGCTGTAATTGAACACAATGTCAAGTTCACAAACATTCTTGAAGCATCTGTCCAATGTTTCCACAAGAACTGAAGGCATCACATCTAAAGTAAGTAAAATTATCCAAAATTTGAAATAGATATCAGGCAAAATGTAATTTTAGAGCCAATATCTTATGCTTTAATAACAATAATCGCTAGCATCATCTATTCAACAAAAAACAAAGGAAAAGAAAAAGTTGTATACAAAATGACATCTGTAAAGCTTATTGATGCAATTTAACATTTCCACTTGAAAGACGCCAAAGTTAAACTCAACTAATTTTGATGACACAAGCATAGTGATCATGATTCTGCGCTCAGACAATAAAATCAATTTCATAGAACAGTGTAACTAAACTGAATTCACCTTCATATCATCACAAAGACTATAAAACTGTCTGCAATCATCTTTATGAAAAATTTCATATCTATAATGGAAGATATAAATATTCAGAGTTCAGGCACCTCAAACAATTAACTGAAATCTTAACTTTGGAAGGACCATGCCATAAGTATCTCTCAACAATATTTAGAAGCTTACCTTGTATCACGTCAAGCATGGCTAGCTCGTTTTCAGAACTATCAAATACAAAAACAAAGTAAAGAGTGGCAAAATGCTTGTAAACAAGGCGACTATCCTGCGAGTGAATTAAAAAGCAATTAAACAGAGTTCTAGGACCAAGAAAAGCTAGTTCATTATTAACAAGAATAGAATTGCAAATCAAAAAATTAAACAGAAAATAAAGGAAATTACCGGACCGAAAATTGATTCCGCATCTACAAATTGCTTACGTTCTCAGGTCTACTGCACAAGACTGTTAAACGATCAATATCAAAATCAAAAGCAAAAAAGAAAATGAATGTTAAAAAAAAAATCAAAATGCAAAATCAAGATATAGGTCCAATAATGAACGCGAATACAAAAATGCATCTAAGGTTTATGCGATCCAGAACGAGGAAAGTTCAAACTAGTTACAGCTAAGTAAGAAAAAGTAGGTGAGAGATCGAACCTCCAAAAACACTGCGTATAAGTTCCTGCTGTTTCTCTACTGGCTGATTTCAACAAAATTCAAAGCGCCATGGATAGCAAAGGAAATCGGATTAGTTAACATTAACAAGATCCCGATATCCATTATAATTATTTAAAAAAAGATCAAATGAGAAAAATCTCAAAAAGAGAAAACGAAGTTTACCAGATATTCGAAGAATTTTACAAGGCGAGGTTTGCCTTGAGTGTTCATCACCATCACAGCTTTTATCATCTTGGCTCCTCCTCAAGTATTCTCTCTCGCTCTTGACCAAACAGACTTTTAGATCTCTCGAATTTAAAATTTCACATTCGAGGACATATAGTTGTGAAATATATAAATGGACAAAATGTCTTCAATTAGTCGATAGTAACGAGGTATGTCAAAAGGCTAAATTGGATACTGTCAATAAGGATGATTGGCAACAAAATAATAAATATATTAAATAATAATCCAAGTCGTCTTTTATCTGGACCAACCCTAGAGAAATATACCATACCAGCTTTGGGACTTTGGCGGCGCGAATAAAACGGTGTCGAACAAAATGGCTTCTCTAGAAGACGATGAAGTCGGTACAGATCCAGTTAAATGATTTTGGCTGATGAAGGGCGGAGAGAAGAAGCTTACTACGCTAGGTGTTGGTGCTGCGAAGCCACATATGCAGAAACATATATCCGTTCGATCGAGGCAATGGTTGTGATTAGCAGCTTCCTTCCGAAGAGATTTCTCTCCAGCTCTGGTCAGCTGCTACAACGCTCGTACTCTTCTTGATGGCTATCTTAGTCACCTTAGCAAAAGCCCCCTTGCAAACAATCTAACGGCTTTATCTAACGGTGGAGATAATGGTTGGAAACTGAAAATCCTGGAGCTTGGTTCCGGCATTGGCCTTGTCGGAATCGCGGCGTCCGTCACGTTAGGAGCTAATGTGACGGTGACAGACTTGCACACTTCATCCCCAACCTCAAATTCAATGTTGAAGCGAATGCTGACGTGTGGCT